ACACTCAAGGAAATAATAATAATAATAATAATAATAATAATAATAATAATAATAATAATAACAACAACAACAACAACAACACATACTGAAAAGCTTGAGATTGCTAGAATGTGGAACCTTCAGGTCACTATTATGTCAGTTCTTTGGTGCGTTGGGGTCTGCTCTGCCATTTTCATCACCATTCTAAGAATTTTCCTCTTTAAAATTTGATAAGGGTTTTACAAAATGAATTCTTATAGTTAAACTGGGATTACTATTTAACCAGTATGTTCAAAATAGCATTTCTTTGGACTACACCTTTTTGTAACACACCTAAATTCCTTGGTTTTTGTATCTATTCAAACTCAGATTAGAATTTATGTTTTGAATTTTTATTTCCTAGCATTATTTGAAAATAATAAATAAATAAGTTTTTTATGACTTTGCAAAAAAAAAAGAAAAGTTTTTCTTATTTTTATTTTATTTTTTTCTTCATTCTTTTTTTATTTTAAGTACTTCCGCTTGTGGAAGTCTCTTCCCGCTGTTAGCATTCCAGTTGGCTTTCATCTTCAAAAATTTAAATGCAATGTCAAAAGCTATCTTCTTGATTCTTGTTTTTTTTATTAAGACAACAATAGTAGTTTTTCTCAGTAACAAGAACGTGCCTCCACGTTGAGGTAGGTTTCCATGGTGACCATAATATTAAGTTGAAAGGAATCAACAAGCTTAAAAAATACACCAACCTCCGGATGGAAGTTGGCGGAATGTGGGACGTTCAGGCCACTATTATGTCAGTTATTCATTATTATGTTAGCAATTATTATTATGTAAGTTATTCATTATTATGTTAGAAAATTATTATTATGTCAGTTATTCATTATTATGTTAGAAAATTATTATTATGTCAGTTATTCATTATTATGTTAGAAAATTATTATTATGTCAGCTATGCATTATTATGTCAGAAAAATATGATTGGAGTTTTGGGGTCTATACCAACGAACATAAAGAGCCAGAGGAAAAGAAAATACAAATAAAGCTTAGTACCCCGTCGCTTCAGAAGTCCGCGTTACAAACTTCTGCGAAATTTTCTACCTGTTTGAGATCGTAGGGCTTGATGGAGAACATCCATAATGTACGATCTCAGGTCGAAAACGAAAAACCGCGCAGAAGAAAGCCATACTACTACTACAACTACTACTACTACTGATAATAATAATAATAATAATAATAATAATAATAATAATAATAATAATCGAACTATTTTCAAGCGATATTTTCAAAGTGGAGTGGCTAATTGTGTGCAATTATTGTTCGAATAAGACGACTATTTATCGAAATTTCTAAAGCAACAATGGAGATATTATCAACTTTTGTCGAACAATAAGACGACTGGTAAAAAAGGGAAAGATGGCTTTTGGTTTGACGAGGTACGAATTGGAAGTTGGCTCTCTGTAAGTGAAGAATTTGATGTGTGCCATTAAAAGATAATGTCGAGTCTCGCAGAGTCTAAAACACGAGACGCTGAACGGACAAGTTGTAGAAAGAAACCTTTTACACATTTATATTATGGTTGCGTAGAAAAAAAAAATGAAAAAAGAAAAACACTTGCAAAGTGATTTTATCTCAAGAGACCATTTTCACATTCCTGGGATTGAAGTTTTATTGAGAAGAGCATAATGTTATGTGTAGTGAATTCTTTATTTACAAGATGACCTAAATTTGCAGCCTTGTGTCAGACTAAGTTAAGCATATACATAAATCAGGCCTATTTCTTCTTGCCTGTTGGGGTCAAGACCATGTCGACTTTATTCCTATGCAAAGCGGTAACAACCCAACAAAAGCGGTTAAAATTTACTGTATGTATGTCTACCGTTTTCTTTTAAATTTCCTTCAATGGCTTTTGGTTCTCTTTTCGAAGCGTAGCTTAGATGTGGCACAAGGCCGGAAGTATGGAGCACCCAGTGAGAACCAAACTCGCTACTCAGTCGTAATTGTTCTAGAGAGATACGTTTGCTAACCAATACAGCGCCTCGAGGTGCCCCTATTGACTTTCTAAGCGTAGCTTAGATGTGGCACAAGGCCGAAAGTATGAGGCACCCAGTGAGGATCGAACTCACCATTACACCGCCTCGAGGTCCCCCCACCTTTTGGCTCTCGTATAAACCGGAATTGTGCCTATATTTTCATTCTTGAGCAATCAAAACCTCCATCTAACCTTTTGTCTTCCGTGAAAGTCAAACATGATATTTTTTGACTCCTGTACAAAGCAAATTGATGTCTTTTTTTTCTATGTGCCATGTCCTTTCAGGACGTACGCGATCATGGCTCTCCACCACCTCTATCCCTTGCAGCTCTCAACAAATTCCTTCCCTCTGCCACCACACCAGACCATGTTCTATCATCCACTTGCTAACACCCGCCAGATATGTCACATGTTTTTCCTTATTTCTCTTACTCGGCCCGTGAGTATCAGATTTTCCAAGCCCCCTTCCTCATTATGTGTCCCAGAAATTTCATCTGCCTCTTCCTGATGTTAAGTATAAGCCTCCTCCTTGTTTGCATCCTCTCCTAAACCTCATCGTTGCTCACACGCTCGGTCCATGATATCCTTAGATCCTTCTGCAGAACCACATCTCCGTCGCCTCGAGTCTCTTCTTCATCTTTGAGGAAATCGTCCAACATTCGCTGCCGTAAAGGAAGACAGATGTCACGTAACAGCTCAGTATTCTTTTCTTTGTTACCAAAGAAATCCTCCTGTCTCGTAATAACCTGTCTAGCTTTGAGAATGCGTCTTTGGCCATCCTAATACGTCTACGGATCTCAGTTGCCTCGAGTCTCTTTTTCATCTTTGAGGAGACCGTCCAACATTCTTGCCGTAAAGAAAGACAGATGTGACGTATCAACTCAATATTCTTTTCTTCGTTGCCAAAGAAATGCTCATGTCTCGCAATATTCTACCTAGCTTTTGGAATGCGTCCTTGGCCATCCCAGTTTGCCTACGGATCTCAGTGTCGCACTAACCGTCCTCTATCAGAACACTTCCCAGATATTTAAACTTCCCAGTCTGTTTGATTCAGGAGTTCTCGACCAGCAAATCGCATTTCGGGCTTATCTTTTTACTGATGAACATGCATTCTGTTTTCTTGTAGTTTATGCTTAGTCCCTTCTTCACACTCTCCGTCGCTACCTTCTATCTATTCTTTGGATTCCTGTACAAACATATGTCTACTCTTTTGACTCCTGTACAAACCAAACTGATGTCTACCTGATTATCGTGTAAAAATGCCTATATCTATCATTTTAACTTCCGTGCAAGACAAACATATTCACCTTTTTCACTCCTGTACGAACCAAATAGATGTCTACCTTTCTGTTTCTTGTGCAAACCAAACTTACATCTACCATTTTGACATCAGTGTAAATCAAAACTCCCACGCAAACTTAGCCAATATTAACCTCTTTGACTCTTGTATATACTGAACACATGTCTAACGTTCTAATGTTTATCAAAATGGCGGAAATCAGTGTTAGATAACATGGAAAAGGCTGATATGCTGTAAAACCAAGTAAACTAAACCACAGCCTCCATATTCCTTTGATCGCTCGCCCTCTGACTAACACCATTTTCAAGCTAGAAGACATTCCGTTGCAAAGAAACTGGAGAAAGAGCATTGAAATATTTCCTGGCTTTGAAACCTTTACAGTTTTATTGCAAAGGCGCAAATAATCTTGTAAGTCAATGGCAGAAATATACAGATATTCAAGATTCATATTTTGACTGATTTAACACTTTTATTTTTTTTTTTTACTAATTTTCAACCAATATAAGGCCCAAGATCTACTCAATGTAGAGAGTTACTGTTTGGACATATATTAGCAAAAGAAAGGTCCAGACTTAGGAGCATAGCTATGATTTACTTTTAGTATAAGACAGAGGACGTGTGGTATTTTTCTAAAGCCTTGGAAAGGGAAATAGTCTAAGGCAGGGGTGGGTAACCTACGGCACGCGTGTCACACGCGGCACGCCAGGCAATTTCCAATGGCACGCAGCTGCAAATGACATCACGAAGTCCGAACCAATAACTACTACAACACAAAGAAGATATATAACCGTTTCAATTTTAATATATGCTAAAGTATATATATATACTATATAGTACTATATTAAATATATTGTAGAACAGGTATATTGACCTTGACTTGTATAAAAATACGTATGCTGCTGGCACACTGAATGATTTTAACACCTTAAGTCGCCAAATAGTTAGCAAAAGGTTGCCGACCCCTGCTCTACTAGACTGAGAGGTCAAAGTGTAAACTTCGACAGCTTCGGAGGTACAGAAACGCTCCTGGGGACCTAGAGAAGAAAAATGTTTAACAATGCAAGTAATCATAATACCTCATCTCAGAGATATAGAGACCAAAACCTTGTGAATATGGCAATGAAGATGAGGATAACAGTCCGAATAATATAAATAATGCAAGTAATCATAATACCACATCTCAGAGATATAGTGGCCAAAACGTTGTGAATATGGCAATGAAGATGAGGATAACAGTCGGAATAATGTAAATAATGCAAGTAATCATAATACCTCATCTCAGAGATATAGAGGCCGAAACGTTGTGAATATGGCAATGAAGATGAGGATAACAGTCCGAATAATGTAAATAATGCAAGTAATCATAATACCTCATCTCAGAGATATAGAGGCCGAAACGTTGTGAATATAGCAATGAAGATGAGGATAACAGTCCGAATAATGTAAATAATGCAAGTAATCATAATACCTCATCTCAGAGATATAGAGGCCGAAATGTTGTGAATATAGCAATGAAGATGAGGATAACAGTCCGAATAATTTAAATAATGCAAGTAATCATAATACCTCATCTCAGAGATATAGAGGCCGAAACGTTGTGAATATGGCAATGAAGATGAGGATAACAGTCCGAATAATGTAAGAAATGCATCCTACTCAAATATCCAAAACACACACATTAAAAGGTAGAGTTACTTTGAGAAACGGAAAAAAACTAGGAGAGGTTTGATAAGTTGAGAGCAAGCGTGAAAGAGAGAGAGAGAGAGAGAGAGAGAGGGGGGGGTAGGCGAAAATATCCGCTTGTGATATAAATGCTATTTTGAAAGTAAAAGTACATCTTCCCGAATGTATTGGGAAGGACCAATGAAAACGGAGTGTATTGAAAGACAAGTGACATTTCTTTTCAGAATTCATTTAGTTTTGTTTTCACTTATTTTTCTCTCTGTGTGTGTGTCTGTCTATTTTGGTTCGTTTCTGTAGATCCCTATTTGAAACACTTAAAAAAAAAGGGGGTTCATAATTGTAAATAATTACATTTCAAGTATAACAAAATTTAATCTGCCGGAAGAAATGCGATAATTTTTTTCCTTCTTTTAAAGATAAACAGTTTGTAGACAACCCAGAGTTTTATAAAAATTCTTCGCCTGGCGACACTGATAAGGAACTTTAAACTCAGATCCAACATTTTTTTCTCTCTTCGTTGGCGATAAACAGGCAAAACGAAATGGTGCCAAAATTGTAAACATTTTCTAAATCAAATCTTTTAACATTTCGAAGTAGCATATATACATATATATATTTAAATAAGTTTTTACGGTACAAAATTTAACGATAGCTAGGAATAAGCAAAATTTATATGCCATTTTAAAAAGCTTAAAAAGAACACCCGGTTTCGTCCTGGCCTTATCAAGTTTATTTTCTCGGATATAAAAAATATATAAGCGCGTAAATTAAATTAATATGAGGAATAGAAGGAAAAAAAAAATGAAATTTCAAGAAACTAGAGTCCAATAACATTCAGACCCAGTAAGCATTCCCTCTGTTTATAAAGGGAAGACCCACGGGATCTGATATACAAGGACTCTAGAACCTTGAGGTGAAATGTGGAGTGGGACCTAGATAAAATAGATCATGATTGTTCGTTGATTTATAAATATAAGTGTAGTTGTGGATTCGACTATATAGGAAGGACGTCCCAGCGTTTGGATCTGAGAATAAAATAAAATTTACCCCCCGCCCCAAGATTTTGAATCTGGATGCCAGGAAAAGCCAACTAACCAATATTTCTGGCTCTTCTATTGCAGACCATGTAATAAATAGCAAGAATTGCGTGTTTAATTTTAGTGCGGACCGTTTTTTGATTTTATCTAGGTCCCACTACACATTTCAACTCAAGGTTCTAGAGTGCTTCTATATCAGATCCCGTGGGTCTTCACTTTGTAAACAGAACGAATGCTTATTGGGTCTGAATGATATTGGACTCTTTCTTGAAATTCATATTTTTTCCCTCAGCTTCCATTCGTTATATTAATTTAATTTACACACTTATATATATTTTATATCCCAGAAAATAAACTTGATAAGGCTGGGACGAAACCGGTTGTTCTTTTTTTAGCTTTTTTTAAAATGCCATTCTGCTTATATATATATATATATATATATATATATATATATATATATATATATATATATATATATATAATGTGTGTGTGTGTGTACAGGGTGTCTATAGAGTTCGTGTGCACTTTAAAAATTATAACTTTATTTGTATTTGCGATAAAAATAATCTGTAAAAAATGTTATAAAGTTTAATGTACCTAGTTTTAAGTATAGCTAAAATAACTAATGTGATTTCAGGCATTACTGTAAATCAGTTGGCAAATGTTTTCCGTGAACTGCAAAATCGTATAACCCTTTGTATTGCTAATGATGGAGGACATGTGGAAACTTAAATAAAATTTCAATAAAACCTTAAAAAATATAGATTTACTTCTTTCTAATCTTTTTTACAAATTATTTCTATCGCAAATACAAATAAAGTTATAAATTTTTTAAGGTGAACAAGAATTTTATGAACACCTTGAATATATTATAAGAGATTATAATAAAAACATTTTGGAAATCGTTACATAAAAGCTTTCATTTCAGGCGATGGCAAGTAACTTACCAAGGAGTATAATCATAGTATTGAAACATGAAAGCTTTTGTGTAGCCTGAAGAAGTACAATCATAGTATTGAAATATGAAAACATTTCTGTAGCGATTTCCAAAATGTTTTTATTATAATCTCTTATAATAAAAATATAATAACAATATATTGCTCTACTTTTTATTGAGCACTTTTTAAAAAAGTAAATGCTTCGAACAGTGAATTTTTACTCCATCTGTTCTTTCTCTCATCTGTGTATATGTATATATATATATATATATATATATATATATATATATATATATGTATGTGTGTGTGTAAGAAGAGTAAAATGTCATACATACATACACCTATATATACGCATCTATGTGTGTGTATATATAAATATAAATATATACAATTATGTATATATACATGCATACATATATATATATATAATGTGTGCATTTGAAATTTTTCACACACACATAAACACATATATATGTATGTGAGAAAATTTCCACTCAAAACACACACGCACACGCACACACACCCATATATATATATATATATATATATATATATATATATATATACATTATAAATTAATTGATTTAAAATGTTTTTTCCGCTACACAGTTCTAACCATGTTTCAAAAATGGAAATGAAAGTCTGAATTTAATTTTGTAATTAAATTAAAGACATTAGTCCCATTTCATCCTCAAGCGAATTTTGGAGTATCTCACTGTTCTTTCTTTATATATATATATATATATATATATATATATATATATATATATATATGTATGTGTGAACTTTTACACCCACACACACACACACACACACACACACATATATATATATATATATATATATATATATATATATATATATATATATGTAATATACATGTATGTGTTTGTCAAATTTTCGCATTTTCGCTTCTTTTTATAAATACTTGTTGCAAAATAAAATTCTCAGATTTGCCTTGACAAAGTCCATCAGAGGACGAAACGCGTCGTCTCAGATAACTTTTCCTTTTTGTTTTTATGGAGAGCCATAATCGTCTCTATCTTGAAGGGACGCGGTTCACAGAAGAAAAATTAAATTTCAAAAAAAAAAAAAATGGATCGAAAAAACTTGTTCTATTTTTCTTGTTTTCAGGAGAAAGCAAACGTTTAAACTATTTAAAAAAAAAAAAAAACTAAGAAGAATAAAATAAAACAAAACTTTATTAATTTTAACATAGAAACCTGTTACAAAATCAATGCCTATTTTAATCCACAATATTTTACTGTAAACCGTATGCCCATTGGGTGACAGAGAGCGCGCAACTCTCTCCCCTCTCTTCCGCCAAGACATATATTTGATTTACGCGGCAAACCAAATCTAAAAATGAAATGTATTACACAAAAATATTTCAGTAGTCAATGAATGAAATATTTAATTAATTTGAGCTTTTCCTCCCGGTATTTGATGATTCAGACTACGTCGATTGCTTTGAGGACATTTAAATTGATTAAATTTATTTTTATATATTTTCAAAATATTATTATTGATACGATTGTTAAAGATTTATATCTATGTTTTTGTTCGTATTTTACTCTTTGGCAATATTTTGCAAAATAGTTTTAGTTTAATGAAAGTTTTGAAAACAAAACTTCTGCTAATCCTACCAGTGATATGTATGTGTTGTGTGTGTGTGTGTGTTGATTTGTCTCATAGGAAAACAGGGTTCGAACCCACGTACCTTGCATTGGCAGATATTTTCCCCTTAACTTTACTTGTGAGACTGCAAAGGAAACTGTCCGGGTTTTTGATGCACACGGATATGAATGTGATTGAAGGCGCAACATTGACACACTCAATAACTACCATTGCGTCTTAGTGGCTTTATCGCCTTTCTTGGGGGTGAAGTATTGATATATATATATATATATATCGCCTTGTATATATACATATATATATATATATATATATATATATATATATATATATATATCGCCTTTCTTGGGGGTGAAATAACTAATATATCTTACTTATTATAAAACACAGATTGTGTGTGTGTGTGTGTGTGTGTGTGTGTGTGTCTGTAACGTTTATACATTGGATCGGATTGCCTACATTTTTCAACCGATTTCAATAAAACTTCACAGGACTACATAAAATTACCTTGTGGTGGTTCTAACAGCGCCCAAAATGGGAAAAATATAATTGTTTTTCTACAAAATCAATTTGAAAACATGATTAAGAGACATCGTGAAAATGGAAGGGAGACAACTCACATCTGATTTCCTATATTTTTCAGCCGATAAAAGAAAATTTCACTTTTTTTTTGGCAGGTAGTGTTTCTTATTGTCTTGCACACTTTTTTCTTTATTTTTAACATTCAGAATGCTTTAAAAATTCCATTTACAAGACAATTATTTATAATAAAATTCCTTTTCAATTGGGAGACTCATAACGATTGAAAACAATGTTTTTGTTTGAGTTTGGGCTTGACCAATTCGTAAAAAATAAAAACTAATTAAGACATGCGTGTCCGTCAACCTTAAACAATAATCTAACGATCTCTACTGATTTTACGAATACAAACATCGGATAAATTTTTATCTTTAGGGAAAGATAATGAAATCTAAACATACACAAGTCCTAACTAAAAATAATAACCGGAACGGGAAACTACTTTAAATACACACGGTGCCCAAATTTTTTACTGTATTCAATAAGTAAAAATCATAAATTGTAAAAGATTATTATTACAGAAAGGCTACTAAATGAATAAGATTTGTTAGATCATAATTAATAAACCCAAATAAAGTTAATATTTTTTGTATTAGAAACAACGAGTGAAAAAATATATTCAAATCAGAATTCTAATTATGAATCACCACAAAAAAAAATTCCAATTTTTTTTACTGTATTCAATAAGTAAAAATCATAAATTGTAAAACTAAAAGATTACAGAAAGGCTACCTACATTTTTCAACCGATTTCAACAAAACTTTTTTTTGGCATGTAGTGTTTCTTATTGTCTTGCACACTTTTTTCTTTATTTTTACATTCAGAATGCTTTCCATTAAAAATTCCATTTACAAGACAATTGTTTATAAAATTATTCTATTCAATCGGGAGACTCATAACGATTGAAAACAATGTTTTTGTTTGAGTTTGGGTTTGACCAATTCGTAAAAAAAAAAAAAAAAAAAAACTAATTAAGACATGCGTGTCCGTCAACCTTAAACAATAATCTTTGTCAATTTTATTTTTCAGTCTTTATGATGGTGGATACTTGTTCTATCTCTTACTGTTATATACTAGCTCTACTGCTAGTATATATATATATATATATATATATATATATATATATATATATATATATATATATATATATATATAAGAAAGAATTTATATATATATATATATATATATATATATATATATATATAAATATATATATATATATATATATATATATATATATATATATATATATATATATATATATATATATATATATATATATATATATATATATATATATATATATATATATATATATATATATATATATATATATATATATCAATACTTAGAGGTAACAGACTTTATCATTTTAAACGCAGTCATTGGCTTGATGATTGCGTTTAGCATGAAACAGTCGGTCGCCTCTGAGTGTTGATTTTAATGTTCACTTTTATATTTATATTTACATACTTTCTATCTCTGATATTGAGCACTTTATTCCACAAAT